GTGTATGGTTTAAGGGCTTGGTTACCACACCTTGCGATGAAAGGGCCGAGGGAGTTCTCGCAGTTTGGGTTACCACGCCTTGCGATGGATGTGCGTGATGGGTGGCACCGAATTTCAGAAATGTGGCAAATCCCCTGTGTTTTTGGACCCTGACCCCGCGGATCTGCGTGAGGGGTGGCACCGAATTTCAGAAATGTGGCAAATCCCATGTGTTTTTGGACCCTGACCCCGCGGATCTGCGTGAGGGGTGGCACCGAATTTCAGAAATGTGGCAAATCCCATGTGTTTTTGGACCCTGACCCCGCGGATCTGCGTGAGGGGTGGCACCGAATTTCAGAAATGTGGCAAATCCCATGTGTTTTTGGACCCTGACCCCGCGGATCTGCGTGAGGGGTGGCACCGAATTTCAGAAATGTGGCAAATCCCATGTGTTTTTTGGACCCTGACCCCGCGGATCTGCGTGAGGGGTGGCACCGAATTTCAGAAATGTGGCAAATCCCGTGTGTTTTTGGACCCTGACCCCGCGGATCTGCGTGAGGGGTGTCGATTTCGAGCCCACCCAGCAATTCAGACAACGCGCCCAGGGGAGGCTAAAAGTCTTGTTTGGGCCTCCCCCCCCCTCGCGCGGTCAATCAACTAGTTACAGTAACCAGCAAGAAGTCAACTAGTTACAGTAACCAGCAAGAAGCAGAACTGTAACACTGGAAACTACAAACTACAACTGGTACAGGAAACTGCGAATCACGGTCCTACAGCCTGGTGGCCCCACAAGGGGGCCGGCTGATATATGTATATATATATACACATATGAAAATAAGATGATGGGAAGAGGGAGACGGGGAAGAGCAGGAGGGGAAGGGGACTGCAGTGGACCAGGGATGATGACGGCGATGACGCTGATGATGATGATGATGTTGATGATGATGATGACGATGACCATGCCGACGACGCCGACGACGACCAACAAGATGTTGATGATGTGGATGATGATGCTGAAAAGTACGATGATGATGATGTCGATGATGGTCACGATGTTGATGATAATGGTGGTACTGATGATTGTTGTGATGGTGATGGTGAAGGTGACCATGATCATGGCGATGACGATGAAGATGACGGGGATGAGGATGACAACGATGACTATGATCATGACCCCAGCTAGAACTTGAGCGCGCGCGAAGCGCGCGCGATGGTTCCTAGGGTGTACATATATCTATCTGTGTGTATCCTTTCCAGGGCGCTCCAGAACGCTCCCAGAGCTTTCTGGAACGCTCTGAGCAGGCCGCGGCGCCCGATACATCCTCCAGAGCCGCCGGATCTCAGAGATTCTCGATCCGGGGGGAAGGGGCCCTCGAGGGCCCCTGGGCCCGTCAGGGCCCGGGAGGGGGCCTTCGGGGCCCGACGAGGGCACCATACCTTTTCCCCCCTCTCCCTCGTTGATCGCCCCCCCCGTGCACTCGCGCCCAGATCGATCCTCACCCGCATCCGTCCTCGTCCTTGCTTGGGCGTGGCCGATTTTAATAGGATTTCTTTTGTGAGGATTTCAGTCGGAGTCCTTCTGTGGCCAATGTCAATCGGACTGTTTTTGAGGAGGTTGTTAGAGGGAACCAGGGGGAGAAAGAAACATAACCAAAACATGTGAAGTCATGGATGTTTGTGAATGTTGCTGTGTTTTTGAATGTGTTTGTTTGAGTATGGTTTCGGGTATTTTAAAAATTGTTCGTCCAGAGTCCCCCTGTAGGGGGACGTGCCCGACCTGATCCTCGTCCTGGCCTCGCCTTGCAAGTCGCCCGCCCTGCGGCCGGCGGCGGGGTGGCGCCAGGCGAGCGCGGCCAGCCTCGGCGGCCAGGGCACCGCGGGCGCCGGGCTCGCGGGGCGCGGGGGCCGCCAGGCCCCGCCGCGCCGCCCCCCGCCGAGGGGGGCCCTCGGGCGGCCCCTGCGGGGGGGGCCTCGGGCGGCCCGCCAGTTCGATGCTCCTTTGGGGGGCGACAATCCCAGAGATCCGAGGCACTAACAAAAATCAAGACGGAGGGTTTTCGCAATTTTTTCCGCCCCGGGGGGCCCTCGCCGGGCCCCGGGACCATCAAAAACTGTTCAGGACGAGAATCCGGTCTTGGGGAGTGGATCGATACTTCTGGGGATCGCGTCTGGACAAAATGGCGACATCGGATCTCTGGGATGTTCCAGCCTACTCTAGCTTTGATCACCAGTCGGAATTTCGAGCACCACGAGAGTACCTACCCAAACTGGAGGGCTCTCATGTGTCGGGCTCTGGGAGGCGACACTCCTCCGACACGGTTTCGATATGGTTCTGAGTGCTCGAACGTATTTATGGGATGTCTCTCGATGTGGTGAATGACGCCATTTTAGGAGATCTGAGCAAGCTTGAAGTGGTGAGATTTTGGCTGCAGATGCTGCAGGAGGGACAGGTTTCTGCCGTGCTTGCGGGACCCCCCTGCGAAACTTGGTCCAGTGCGAGGTTTGCGGTTTTCCCTGATCGTCCTCGTCAGCCACGGCCGGTTAGATCGCGTGAGTTCCCGTGGGGTATCAAGGGTCTCCGTGTGAGAGAGAGAAAGAGAGATGGAACAAGTCAGGCTTGGCAGTGCTCTGCCCAGAACTACATGTTTTGCATGCTGGTTGTCATGCCCATGTTCCTACGATTTTGGAGCACCCCAGCACCAGTGTTCATCGTCCCCACGCCCCCTCGCCCTGGCTCCTGGATCAGTTGCAACGTCTTAAGGGTAAACCCTACGTTAACTATGTGCACATTCACCAGTGTATGTTTGGAGCTACGTACAAGAAACGGACTTCCTTGCTGGCGGTGCGCTGTGCTTCTCTAGGCCGTATTGTTGCTGCCTGCCAGAATGGAGGGCTCTGTGATCAGAGCCACCAGCACGAGATTTTACTTACAGGGGACAGGAGGATGGGCAGTGGCGCACGAGCAAGGCCAACACGTATCCCCCTCGTCTCTGTCAGTTCCTTGCTTCCAATCTGTTTTGGGAGATCTGTCTGAGAGATGAGTGCACCGAGGTGGACGGGGGCTATTGGGAGATTCCGAGTGTTGTGGCCCCCCCTTTTTTTGTTCCGCTAGACCCCTACCTCCAACGTGAGAGGGGGGCAGACTGCATGTTGCGTAATCCGCGTTAGTCTCTCGTCCCTTGCCTTTTCCCCCTTCCTTTCCCCCCTCTCCAGGAACGGCAGCGGACACTCTCATGCCGTCAAAGTCGAGTCGAGTCGAGGCGGGGGGGGGAGGTGGGAGAGGGGGAGGAGGAGCATGAGCAGTAGGAGGGGGAGGAGGAGGAGCAGGGGCATGAGGAGGAGGAGGAGGAGGCTGACAAGGACAAGGGGCAAGGACAAGGGGCAAACGACAAGGACAAGGACAAGGAGGAGGCGGAGGAGGGGAGGAGGAGAAGGAGGAGGAGGAGGAGGAGGAGGAGGGAGGGGAGGAGGTGGGGAGGAGGAGGAGGAGGGAGGAGGAGTGGGGGGAGGAGGAGGAGGAGGACCATGAACAGTAGGAGGAGGAGGAGGAGGAGGAGGCAGGAGCAGGAGCAGGAGCAGGAGGAGGAGGAGGAGGCGGAGAACGAGGAGGAGGAGTAGGAGGAGGGGGAGAACGATCAGCAGGAAGAAGAGGCGGAAGAGGAGGGCGAAGAGGAGGAGGGACATTGCTCTTGTAAGATTATCTTGTCCTCTGATTATCGGGCTCGGGGAAGGCTGCTGAGGACGAGGAGGCAAGGGGAGCGCAGGATGAAGAGGGCTCGAGAGGAGGAAGGAGGTGAAATAGTTAGGTGAAGGAACACAGGGAGGGACACGCCGAAGAGCGGGGAAGACAGGGAGGCGGAGGAGAAGGAGGAGGGAGACGAGGAGGAGGAGGTGAAGGAACAGGGATCCCTTTTCAGGGAAACACCGACGAGGATCTATATATTGCATATATATATATATATATATATATATTTATATATATATATGTATATATACACATATGAAAATAAGATGATGGGAAGAGGGAGACGGGGAAGAGCAGGAGGGTAAGGGGACTGCAGTGGACCAGGGATGATGACGGCGATGACGCTGATGATGATGATGATGATGATGTTGATGATGATGACGATGACCATGCCGACGACGCCGACGACGACCAACAAGATGTTGATGATGTGGATGATGATGATGCTGAAAAGTACGATGATGATGATGTCGATGATGGTCACGATGTTGATGATAATGGTGGTACTGATGATTGTTGTGATGGTGATGGTGAAGGTGACCATGATCATGGCGATGACGATGAAGATGACGGGGATGAGGATGACAACGATGACTATGATCATGACCCCAGCTAGAACTTGAGCGCGCGCGAAGCGCGCGCGATGGTTCCTAGGGTGTACATATATCTATCTGTGTGTATCCTTTCCAGGGCGCTCCAGAACGCTCCCAGAGCTTTCTGGAACGCTCTGAGCAGGCCGCGGCGCCCGATACATCCTCCAGAGCCGCCGGATCTCAGAGATTCTCGATCCGGGGGGAAGGGGCCCTCGAGGGCCCCTGGGCCCGTCAGGGCCCGGGAGGGGGCCTTCGGGGCCCGACGAGGGCACCATACCTTTTCCCCCCTCTCCCTCGTTGATCGCCCCCCCCGTGCACTCGCGCCCAGATCGATCCTCACCCGCATCCGTCCTCGTCCTTGCTTGGGCGTGGCCGATTTTAATAGGATTCCTTTTGTGAGGATTTCAGTCGGAGTCCTTCTGTGGCCAATGTCAATCGGACTGTTTTTGAGGAGGTTGTGAGAGGGAACCAGGGGGAGAAAGAAACATAACCAAAACATGTGAAGTCATGGATGTTTGTGAATGTTGCTGTGTTTTTGAATGTGTTTGTTTGAGTATGGTTTCGGGTATTTTAAAAATTGTTCGTCCAGAGTCCCCCTGTAGGGGGACGTGCCCGACCTGATCCTCGTCCTGGCCTCGCCTTGCAAGTCGCCCGCCCTGCGGCCGGCGGCGGGGTGGCGCCAGGCGAGCGCGGCCAGCCTCGGCGGCCAGGGCACCGCGGGCGCCGGGCTCGCGGGGCGCGGGGGCCGCCAGGCCCCGCCGCGCCGCCCCCCGCCGAGGGGGGCCCTCGGGCGGCCCCTGCGGGGGGGGCCTCGGGCGGCCCGCCAGTTCGATGCTCCTTTGGGGGGCGACAATCCCAGAGATCCGAGGCACTAACAAAAATCAAGACGGAGGGTTTTCGCAATTTTTTCCGCCCCGGGGGGCCCTCGCCGGGCCCCGGGACCATCAAAAAACTATTCAGGACGAGAATCCGGTCTTGGGGAGTGGATCGATACTTCTGGGGATCGCGTCTGGACAAAATGGCGACATCGGATCTCTGGGATGTTCCAGCCTACTCTAGCTTTGATCACCAGTCAGCATTTCGAGCACCACGAGAGTACCCAAACTGGAGGGCTCTCATGTGTCGGGCTCTGGGAGGCGACACTCCTCCGACACGGTTTCGATATGGTTCTGAGTGCTCGAACGTATTTATGGGATGTGGTCCTGAAGTACGATGGGAGCAACACAAGTTTTTGGGTGCCTGGCGGATGTGTTCGACTCCAGTTCGACTCGAGTCCGGCTCCAGTCCGACTCGCGTTCGGCTCGAGTGCGACCCAGGCTCGGGTCGGATGTGAGGACCTGCATGCAAGACGTTGAAATAAGGTCGGCCACGCGAAGAGGAGGGGTGGCAGGGCTCGTTTCGATTCCTCCGATCCGAGTCAGATCGATTCCGACGAGTTCCGATTCCGATGCGATGCGACTTCGGATTCCGATGTGGCTTCCGATCTCTCCATGGGGCCCCGCTACCGTGCCGATTGCCGCCGATTCGACTCCTCCCGACTTGGCTGCCGATTCCCGCCGATCCGATTCGTCTCGATCGCCGATTCGACTTATCGATTCGATTATGGGCTCTCCTGGGGCGGAGGGGGAAGGCTACTCAGAAGCACCCCTGCTTCTCAGAAGGCGCAGGCCTTTTCTGTAGATGTGAAGGCCGGCGCCTTCCAAGAAGCAGCATGCTTCTAAGCAGCCTGCCCCCCTCCTCCTACCCCTCTCTGCGCGCCGCCAATAAGGACCACGTAGGAAGGGGTCAGGAGTGGCTCGGGCCGTTCCTTCGGTCTAGATTCTCGATCGGGGAACCTGCTTGGCCGAGAGTAACAAGAACAGCCCCGTCGTTCCTCATGTGGCGTTTCTTCAAGTAGCACGATGGCTGTACCTCCCCACGTGCGGAGTTGGAAACCCACCCACGGGGAATGCGAGTGGTTCAAACCCAAGGAGTGCCGGGAGGAGTGGACGAGCCGGTATCTGCAAGAGCCCTACCGGAGAGCTGTTTGGACAACCCCCGCACGGCGCGGCGCGTTCGCCCGATGGGACCCCCAGAGGAGGACGTGTGTTAGCCCAGTGTGTGTGTGTGTGTGTGTGTTACCTCGTTCGGTCGGCGCTGGCCGTCGTAGGACCGTCCGCCTGCGTCGACTAGAAGGGCGTCCGTGGGCGAGCACACGTTTCAGAGCCCCGAATCATCAGGGGTAACTCGGGTCAGGGATAACTCGGGTTCCTTTTTCGGGAACCCGAACCCGAGTTACCCCGGACCCGAGTTACCCCGGATGACTCGGGCGTCCAGAGCCCCGAATCATCAGGGGTAACTCGGGTCAGGGATAACTCGGGTTCGTTTTTCGGGAACCCAAACCCGAGTTACCCCGGACCCGAGTTACCCCGGATAACTCGGGCGCCCAAGTGTGTGTGTGTGTGTGTGTGTGTGTGTTACCTCGTTCGGTCGGCGCTGGCCGTCGTAGGACCGTCCGCCTGCGTCGTCTAGAAGGGCGTCCGTGGGCGAGCGCACGTTGGCGCTGACGCGTTCGTTCTTCGCCCCAGACCCACTCGGTTCGTGAACACATCTCGATGGGGGGGGTCACAAGTTGCAGCCTTCGGGAGCCCTCGCCGGACCCGGGGCCGTCAAGGCACGACTCAGGACGACAAACCGGTCTTGGGGAAGGGGTCGAGACTTTTGGGGTCGACGGCATGGAACAAGAATCATAGCGTCGGGGGTCTGGGACCCCAGACACCCGAGTTCGTGATGTTGGTTGCTGCAGCGTGGCTGGACTAGAGGTATGGATCCCTTTCCGGGGCCGGCTCTTCATTCTGAGGCGTTTCCGGCGGGTGGTAATGGTGGGTGACTTAGATGGGGGGGGGAAGAGAAGGACCATGAACGGGCACTGCAGGGCCTCTTTTGGGCCTCTGCTGGCCCCAAAATGATCCCTCCTGGGGCCTAAAATGCCCTATTGAGGCCCTTGACTTCACCCCCCATTTGGGCAACCCTCCATCTCGGCCACTCGCAGAGGGGGGTGGGGGAAGGGGAAGAGCTTCTTCGAAGCACCCCTGCTTCTTAGAAGGCGCGGGCCTTCTCTACAGATCTATGGCCGCCGCCTTCTAAGAAGCAGCCTCCTTCTAAGAAGCCCTCACCCCTCGCGCCACCCCCTTGTGCGCGCCGTCAACTCGACGGTGCCAGGGCCCGGTCCAGGTCACCCAGGAGCCGAAAACGGCCAAGGGTTTCGCTGTGTCCCTTGTCACGGCGCAAGGGTGTCAGGGAGCGGCCATCGGCGGCACACGTTTCGTCCTGCCACCGCCGCGCCTCGGGCTGGGGCCGGAGGTCAGAGGAGTAAGGATTAAGTCGGGCCTGGCCCTCCAGGAGGAATATCCAAACATAGTCCAAAAATAGTATGAAGACTATTTTTTGACTTTTTTACGACGTGTTGAGAATTGTTGGGTATTCTTAGTTTTCCGCCCAGGGTCCTCCTGGAGGGGGACATGCCCGACCTAAAGCAAGAAGTGCTCACCGATACCAATGCGCATCTCTGTCGCACGGCTGGACTCGCCTGTACAAGACTGGTCAGAAAGCACCCTGGGAGAGGCCATTGCAATGATTAGCAGCAGCGGTGCTCCGATATGAGGCTTACGCCATTCGGCCGACCCCCAGCAGTGTGTGCGCGTGTTGCTTGCCATTATCGGTGTGATGCCTGCGTGCAGTTGTTGCCGATTCGTCCTCCTCGTTCTCCGCATCTCTGGCGGAGCTTCTCGGGGGCCGCTTGGAGGCCTAGGGGACGGCCTCATGGAGCTTTTTCAGGGCGCCCGCGGAAAATTCCATGGGCTATTGCCGGCCCTTGGAACTCTCGGGGGCAGTTTTCGGGGCCTGGAGCTGTCCAAAGGCCGTCCGCGACGAAAACCTAGTCGCGGGGATGGAGCCAGGTGCTGGGTTTACGTCGTCCCGGGCGTTGCCAAGGTGCCCGGCTGGCCTCCAGCGACCTCTCAGAGGCCCCTCACTTCCGAGTTGCCTCCTCTCTGCATCGGCAGTCGCTGAAGTTCAACCAGGCCAGAGCCTGGCCAAGGGGGGGGAGGGGCGGTGCTTCGGCCCGCAAGGTCCAGCCGCACCAATCCTCTGGTGGCTGTTTCGGCTCGCGAGGCCAAAGCCAAACTCGAGAACGAAGTTCGACGTAGATCGGAGAAGCACCGTGCTCCGAAAGCGAATTCTTACGCTCTACACTCCATGTCCATCCAGATGTTCGCCCAGACGGCGGAGTACGAGGCGCCCTGCAGCGCGACGCTGGCTGCCCGTCCGCCTCCGGGTCTCGTGGAGGAAATCGACGTCGCCGCGTGGGGCGGCGTTGGTGCTCGCATCTTCTGGGCCCTCGAGGCCTGCGAGGACGTTGGGGGCATCGACGAAGTTCGGCGGCGAGCCCAGCGGAGAAGCCAGAGGCGGCCGGCCTTCTCAGAGAACGCGGCCGGGCCCTTCAGAAGCCCCGCAGCTTTCCGAGAAGCCGCCTCCGTCTGGTAAGGGGGTTCGGCAGCTTCTCACAGAGGGCCTTCGAATCTTCGGAGAAGGCAGGCGCGGCCCATTCGACCCCTCATCAGCAAACCGTCCCCTTTCGTGACGCCCCCCCTCGCCTCGCCCTACGACGTGTGTGTGTGTGTGTGGGTGTTTGTGTGTGTGTGTGTGTGTGCGTGCGTGCGTGCGTGCGTGCGTGCGTGCGTGCGTGCGTGTGTGTGTGTGTGTGTGTGTGTTTGTGTGTGAGGGTGTTTGTGTGTGTGTGTGCGTGAGTGCGTGCGTGCGTGTGCGTGTGTGTGTGCGTGTGTGTGTGTGTGTGTGTCTGAGTGTGTCTGAGTGCGTGTGTGAGTGAGTGAGTGAGTGAGTGTGTGTGTGTGTGCCTCCTCCTTCCTCTCTCTGCATTGTGGCCGAATTTACGTTCGTTTATCTTCCAACGCTTCATCGCCAGCGCAGTCACCCTGCCCAGCCGCCGACGCAAAATAGTTGTGTGTTATGTGTGTGTTGTGTGTGTGTGCGTGTGTGCTTTTGTGTGTGTGCGTTTTCTTTTTGTGTGTGTGTGTTTGTGTGTGTGTTTGTGTGTGTGTGTGTGCGGCCGGCGGGAAGCCTGGAGGGCGAGGACGGCGTCGCGGAAGGGGATGATCATAACCAGGGGTCGGCGAGGCCGCGCCCGAGAGAAGGCCCTCCCCCCGCCCTCCCCCCCCCCGGGCTCGCCGCCGAGCACTGCAGCGGGGAGCGCTCTGCAGGGGAGTGGGAGGGCAGGGGTGCGGCAGGCTCGCGACCGCGCGGACGTGGCGGAAGCCCCAGCGCGGGCGCGCAGGGAGGAGCGCCGGCAGCGGCCCGGGACCAGCCGATGTCGAGCGGTCTGCGCTGTCGTGAAGTCGGGCATGTTCTTCTACAGGAGGAGCGCTCAAGAATGGTTAAACAAACAAATGGTCTGGTGACGATGTTTCGTGCTCTTCTGTCTATTGCTGAGTACTTGTTTTGATTGGTGCTTTTTGGTCCCAAATCAGCCTGCAGGAGGACGTGCCCGACCTGACGCTAGCGGAGAGCCGCGACCATTCAACGTTGAAGGATACACGCGGCACTGGAGGTAAGGCCCAATGCCCAAGTGTCGCCGGAACGTCGGCTACCCGTCGCTCCTGCTCCTTCAACGAGAAGGTGTTCAGCGGTCCACGCGGGTGTCAGAAGCCAACGTGTCATCGCGGCGTGGACCTGCCTACCGACAACTCTTCATAGGTGTCCCTCGGTGTCTGGCCTCAGTCTCTCCGACTTTGTGTGAGTCATGCTCCCTCCCGATCTTCTCCTGTTCGGAGTTTACCGGGAGCCTCCTTGAAGGTCTCGGGGCTATCCGAGGGTACATCGGTCCGTCGGGGTAGTCCTGCGGCTGCTAGGGCGATCTGCCCCCCGCATGTCTGCCATTTCGATACAACTCTCACTCGCTTCGTGGCCCCATTGGGAGCTCTGCCGAAGGCCCCAGTGGCGGGCGTCACGCCCGTTTCGGCGTACCCCATCACACGTTTGATGGCCACATATGGAGCTCCACCGAAGGCCCCAGTCGCGACGTTCGCATCTGGGCATCACGCCCATTCGGGTCATCGTGGTGTTATACGTAGCACCCCGCAATTGCGGATAAGAGTGAGGGGGCGGGCGCGGGCGACGCGGGCGTCGAGCCGGCGGACCTCGTGGCCCTGACCTTCCCTGTCGATGGAGCCCTCCTCCTCCTCATCCTGCTCCCCCTCCTCCTCTTCCTCGTCCGCGTCATCGTCCTCATCGTCGTCGTCGTCCGCCTCCTCCTCCACCTCCTCCTCCTTTTCCTCCTTTTCTTCCTCCTCCTCATCATCCTCCCCCATCCCGATCCTCCCTCCTCTCCTTTCCGTCGTCGTCGTTCTCCTCCTCCCCCTCCTCCTCCCTCCTTTCTCGTCGTCCCCCTCCGTCCCCCCTCCTTTTCCTCCTCGCCCTCGTCGTCGGCCTCCTCTTCGTCCTCGTACTCGTCGTCGTCGTCCTCCTCCTCCTCCTCCTCCTGCTCCTCGCCCTGCTCCTCCTCCCCTTCTCCGCGGAGCGCGCGTGCGCGCGCCTGGGGGGTGGGTCGCGGGCTTGTTCAGTGAACGTAGTTTAGGTCACGGGTGGGTCGCGGGCTCCACCTCCACCTGGAAGGAATCCAACAACAGCCCGCCGCAGGCGCCGAAAATTTTGATTTGTAAACTGAACGCGGTTTGGGTCGCGGGTGGGTCGCAGGTTCTCCATTTGGAACGGATGCAAAAGAAGCCCGCCGCAGGGGTCGAGGGGTGGGGTGGGTCGAGGGTGGGTCGCGGTGGGGTCGCGGTGGGGTCGCGGTGGGTCGCGGGTGGGTCGCGGGCGCGGGGTGGGTCGAAAATTTTGGGTGGGTCGGGGGTGGGTCGCGGGTGGGTCGCGGGTGGGTCGCGGTGGGTCGCGGGTGGGTCGCGGGCGCGGGGTGGGTCGCAGGTGGGTCGCAGGGTCTCCACCTGGAACGGATGCAAAGGATACCCGCCGCAGGCGCCGAAAATTTTGGTGGGTCGCGGTGGGCGGGTGGGTCGCGGGTGGGTCGGTGGGTCGCGGGTGGGTCGCGGGTGGGTCGCGGGTGGGTCGCGGGTGGGTCTCCGGGGGGTCGGGGGTGGACGGGTCGCGGTTGGGTCGCGGTGGGTCGCGGGGTAGGTCGCGGGCGCGGGGTGGGTCGCAGGTGGGTCGCAGGGTCTCCGCCTGGAGCGGATGCAAAGGATACCCGCCGCAGGCGCCGAAAATTTTGGGTGGGTCGCGGGGTGGGTCGCGGGGTGGGTCGCGGGTGGGTCGCGGTTGGTCGCGGGTGGGTCGCGGGTGGGTCGCGGGGTGGGTCGCGGCTGGGTCGCGGGTGGGTCGCCGCTGGGTCGCGGGTGGGTCGCCTCGGGGTGGACGGGTCGCGGGGTGGGTCGCTGGTGGGTCGCGGGTGGGTCGCAAGTGGGTTGCGGGTTTGGTCGCGGGTGGGTCGCGGGTGGGTCGCGGGTGGGTCGCGGGTGGGTCGCGGGGTGGGTCGCGGGGTGGGTCGCGGGGCGGGTCGCGAGTGGGACGACGACAACAACAAACAACAAACAACAACAACAAGACTCCGCATCGCGGAATTTCCTTTCAGCCACGCACCCAGGGAAAGTGAATGACCGTTCGGTTCAGCCCCCTCACTTTGATAAGTTCCCTCGGGGGGCGTTCTGGCCCGCTGAAGCGCCGTCTATTGTTGCCAGGAGGGTCGTTTGGAATCACATTGGAATCCACGTGTGTGAGTTTCCAGGGCTGGCATCTCAAAAGCATTGACTTGAAAAGTCATGTATGGTCCAATGCTTTTACCCCACCAGGGGCGTCCTTGAATATTGCTTCAGCGCCTCAGAGTGGCCTTCGGGGTGCGGGTCGTCTTGAGTAGACGTTTGGGCATGGGCGGGTTATGGTTCCATCTAGGCCGTCGTGGCCAGTTTTCAGTCTGCTGTCGGTCCTTGGACGTCTTGATATGTCTTGAAATCGTCTGGGCCCCCACCCTGAGAGTCCTGGGGAGCCCCCGACACCACGCATCGTACAATGAACGAGTCAGTGGCATACGCCGCACCGCCGACCCCGTCGGAGTCCTGGATACATCTCTCCTGGGAGGTGTTGCGGTAGAAGCATCTTGGCGCCCTGCGTGCACATGCCAAACACAAAGCCCACACCGTGCTCAACAGGGGCCCTGCTTACGGAGCTGTGTTCGGACCCGCTCTTGGGGGCACGTTGGGAGTCCTGGGGGCCTCTGTGATCTGCTGTGGGGGAGGGCTCCTGGGGCATCTTGCAGTTCCCACCTCTCGGGCTCCTCTCGGGAGTTCCCGTGGGGGTCTCTTGGGCAGTCCGTTTGCATCGTCCATGTGTTGGGGCCCCTCCGGGTCCGCTTTGGGAGCTTGATGTGCTGTCTCGGGTCGATCTCGGGGGCTTGCTGCGCTGCCTCTTGACACCCTGGAGATCGAGAAGGCGAGTCTGATTCTCAATCGAAAGAGTACAGTGGAGGCCCATGCCAAGAAACACCCTGCTTCCCTCCAGGGTGCCCTGGTTTTCTTGGGTTCCGATGTTTCTCCTATGGAAAGCGTGACGTTCCCACACCAAGAATCCATGGACGTCATGGGGTCTCAGGCTTGGGTGTCTTGTGGAAGGTTTCTTGTGGACTGGCCTCCACTGTGATCGTCCGAGTCTCTTGCGGGGGGACCTTTGTGCGCTTCGTGCGGGACTCTTGTGCCTGCCCTTCGGCTGGGGCCGTTTTCGCGCGGGAGACTTGATTGAAGTCGTCTCGCAAGAAGCAGCGCATACCGAAAATCACAAAGGGGGAGACGTCGATTGTCGGAACTCCATGCTAGCAGCGTGTCTGTGCGTACGTCGTGCACGCTGCTTTGACTGACTGACTGACTGAGTGAAGCCGTGCATCCTTCGCGGACTCGTGGGCACATTGAGCGAAACAAACTACAACGGAATGTACAACTGCACGAGCACAGGGGGAAGGGCAGGGAGGGAGGGGGGCGGAGAAGCATATCACAAAAGCTTGTAAACTGACATCGCCCTGTCTTGTCTCGGGCGGCCCCGGCGCCTGCGCAGGGCCCAATTCTAGGTGGCATCGTCGGCGTCGCACACTAGTTGTTTAACTAGTGAGGCGTCGTTATGGGAAGAGATTTTCTGATATAGGTTTGCTTGCCGATCGCGTAGATTCGCGGACAAAGGCTGGGAACCGGCGCTATCTAGCACAGTAGCATTCGAAGTTGTTTGGAAAAAAATGAAGGCGGCATCGTCACAGTGGCGTTTCCCCCAACCATCTTTGGCTTACGGATTTCCTTTTGCCTGTGAAGAGAATCGGTGTGCACCGGGCTTGGCCGGCCAACCCTCCTCGGGTGTCTTCGTGCGGGTGCGTTGGTTCTTTGCTCTTGGTTCTGCGTTGCCTTGCTCAGGTTCCTTGGGCTTGGTTTCTTGGTTGTTCCTTGGTCTTGGTTCCTTGGTCCTGGTTCTCGGTTCCGTCGTTCCTTGGTATTGCTTCCCTGGTGCCCTGGTCGTGGTTCTCAGGCTCCTTGGTCTCGGTCCCTTACTTCTTTGGACGTGGTTCTCTGCTGCCTTGCCACGCAGCGCCCAGGAATGCCAAGCAATACGCTGCAGAGTGCCAAGCAATGCCACGCACCGCGCCGAAGCAATAGGACATTTCGCCCTAATGGGTCGCGCCAGGTTCATCTGTAGGTCCCAGCGGACACACGCAGGCTTGCAACAGCCCCCCAGGATGAAGAGTTCGTCGATTTTGTCTCATGGAAGCGCGCCGCCGAGCCCCCCGATGCGGAGACCACGAGCACCGCTGGCAGCGATTGCGCCAGCGACGCTGACTGCGGAGGCCATGGTGCCTCAACCGCGGACACCAGCGCTGCAGACGATCAGTCCGAGGCTGATGCCGACATCGACGTCACTGCGTGGCAGGGCGTGGGCAAGCTCATGTGGACCGCGCTGGGCAGCTTCGAGGACGAGGACGACGACCCACTGCAGCGGCGGCTCCTCCAGCAGGCTCCGTGAGGGCCGTCCGCCACCTCCCGGCCTGCGAGGTCCATTCCGTATGTCAAGCGGGGAGGCGCGCTTCCGCGCTCATCCGCGGATTGCTCCTTGTCCGCGTGCGCTGCGCAGCAGCAGCGGGGAAACAGAGCCCGCCGCCGCTCCGTCGGGAAGTTGAGGCCCTTCTCGTCCGTCGGGATGCCACCCGGGCCCGACAGGTGGCGTTCACTAAACGGCCCTGGGCGTTTGTTAAACAGCCCTGCCCTGTTCGATTCCTTCTTTGGGCGCATTTACTAAGCGATGTTGCGTGTCGGGGTGGTTCTTATCGGCGTGGATGGTTTGTCCTCTAGTGGTTGCATGTAGTCATTGGCCAGCCCTCTTGGTGCCATTCTCCCCTGCGGGCCCCAGAGGGAGCCTCAGGATCCTAAGGCAGGTCAAGCAGCCCCTGCCCAAGACTGCGGCTCGGCAGGCTGCAGAAGACGACTCCGCAGGCTGCAGAGCCTTCCTATGGTGCCCTCATGGTGTCCGGGCGGGTGGGTGGCAAGACCTGTTATACAAATCAGGCTTTCCAGCGAGGATAGAAAGAGGGCCGAGGGAAGATGGCTGAGGAAGGACGGAGGAGTGAGGAGGGACAGAGGGAGGAATGGACAGGCCAGAGTTTCGTGGCGGGGGGGGCGAGAAAGCAGGAGAGAGAATTGAAGGTTCATGAAAGGGGGGAAGGATAAAGGAATATTAAAGCGCGAGGAGCGGGGGAGAACGAGGAGGGAGGAGAGAAGTGGGGGGAGGAGAGAATAGGGAGGTGGGAGGCACGAGGAAGGCGAAGAGAGCGAGGAGCGAGGAGGGAGCAAGGAGGCCAGAGGCAGGGACGGAGGCCGGCGCGCTTTCTGGCCAGAATCCAGAGGGGAATCAGGCCGTTGCGACGAGGGCTCCCCGAAAGGCCCAAGAGGCACTCTTGAAGTCGGCAGGCGCAGAAGTGCGGAGACGATCAGGCGCTGGTCGGTCTACCGGCGGGGCGCGCGGAAATTATTTGGGGCTATCTGGAAAAGCGGAGAGCGGAGCAGAGGTCAAGACAAAACCTTTCATATTGCGCAGACATTCTATGGGCGTGCCAGCGGAGATGACGTGCGGGCTGCGTAGCAAGCGGCGGTTGGTCAGATCCAGAATGTGTAGAACAAGTATGTCTGAGAAGGTACAGAGCGACAACGAAGTGGTAGACCCATGTGTACTTCGGGCTGCGACTCAGCGGTGACTGAAACGCGGACTGAAGGGGATGCCCTTGAACGGACACACGGTGAACAGGAAGGGTGAGCCCGGAGGCGGTGAACTTGGACAGGTGCGTAGGCGGTTGCCAGATAATTGGCAATTCCAGAAAGGTCAATCCTGGAGCCAAGAGTGACCAGATAGGCTTCCACACGTGAAGTCATTGGGCGGGTGGCCATGGGAGACACAATGAACATGTCCAAATCCCAAACCTACTGCTACTGAAAACTTCTCAGATGGCCAGGGGGAGTCTGAGAAGCTCGGCCGCCTTCTGACAAGCCCTCATCCTTCTCCTTTGCCCCCCTTCGCTCGCCGCTGGGAGGAGGAGACTTTTTCTTTGCCATGCCCCCCCCCCCCGACAGGACGTGGCGGCGGTTGCGGCGCCCGAGAGCCCCTTGCCCGAGCTGTGGCTGGACGGGGCCTCCGCGAGTTCCGCCTCGGGCTCTTCCGAGGAGGCCTTCGGGCGGAGCTCCTCCTCCTGCCCCCCCTCCGCCTCCCGCCTTTTGCTTCTGCTCCTCCTCCTCCTCCTCTTCCTCCTCCTCCTTCCTGTCCTCCATCACCATCAACATCAACAGCACCAACAACAACAAGAACAGCATCACCACCATCCTGCATCCTACACACTACGCCCTGCATCCTCTTCAAACTCACCCTACACATGACTCGACAACTTTTGTTTACCTATACGACCACCTTGCGGGTGATAAGGAGGTTGTGGGGGGTGGGGGGAGGGGGGTGGCTCATGACGACAACTGTGATGAACGTGGTGGTGATGGGCGATGATGGTGTGGATGACGTGGCGGATTTTTTGTTTGTTCCTTCGCTTGGGCGATTTGTGTCGTTCGGTTTGCCGCTGCGCGACGCGGCACTCAGCCCACGACGTCCCAGTCGACGATGGGTGCATTGGCAGTGCTTGGTGCGTGCGTCCGGACCTCTCCTATCCTGGCTTGGGAGTCACGCTGGCAGTGCCTGGCGTCGACGAGCACCCTCCGCCCAGCGTCGGTGGAGACGACGAGCAACCATGATGAGCAACCATGATGAGCAACCGGCGGGACAATGATGAGCAACCATGATGAGCAACCGGCGGGACAATGATGAGCAACCATGGTGAGCAACCGGCGCCTGCGGGACCATGATGAGCAACCATGATGAGCGACCATGATGAGCAACCGGCGGGCAACCGACGGGACAACGTGGGCTACCGCTTGACAAGGCCGGGGGGGCAGACGTTTGCGTTGGCGGACCCCTAGCGACAGCAGAGCGAAGTCCTCTCGCTGGCCCACGCAGCTTCGCCTCGCCCGCGCGCGCGGCACGAGCACGAACTCGAATCTCGATTTCCCGGCGGGGGGGTTCCGTTACACTGCGATCTCACCCCCGACCTCCGATAACCATGTATATGTATGCGTGTGCGTAGAACATATACATATGTACATGCATGACCGTTTACGCGCGTCGCAGGTCTATACTGGGGGGAGCATCGTCGATCGCCGTTTCCATCCGCAGCCCTTTTTCTAGCCTTATGAGGCCTCGGGCGAGCCGACACCTTATCGCTTTGGTGGTCGGCCCGAGGCCTCAGCTGGCCCCCCAAACCTGAAGGTTTGCGGGGGCCGATTCTGGCCGCTTCGTCTCAGGCCTGGTCTGCCCCAGGTCTGGGCTGTCGCCATTCGCCCCTGGCGCTCCCGCGGCTGGGGCCCCGGCGGCCCTGCCTGGCGGTGCGGGGCGCGCAGGCGCGCGCAGCTGGCGACCGCGGCGCTGGGGCGGCGGCCGACTGATGGCGGAGGATCCGACCGGCGACCTTTACACGCCGACGGGCAAGGACGGGCCCCTGGGGGAGGCGGCGCTCGCGGCGTTCGCCGCCGAGGAGGGGCCGCAAGAGCTGTTCGAAGGCAAGGCTTACCTCTCGACGGGCTAAGACGCGGAGGGCTCGGTTCAGTAGAGCTTCGTTTGGGTTGCGGAGCGGATCTCCGTCGGTGCGGAGGTGTTCGCTCGGCCGCGCTTCCTCTTCTCGGACGACCCTTACTGGGATTGGCGGGCGTCGAGCCCAGGCGAGCGCGGTGGTATCGTAACGCGCCCTCTGATCCACGCGCGCCTCCACTCGGAGTGCGAGGTCGCGGAGCCGCGCGGCTGCTTGGAGCTCATCCAAATTGCGGGCGCGCGGCCCGTGGGTGGCGACGAGCTCAGGGAGGCGACAGCCCGGGGGCGCCTTGGCCAGCCGACCAGTTCGGGCCGAGGGCGCCCGTGCGCGCAAGTTCCAGAGTGCAAGCCTGAGCAGGTCATCCATATTACGTGATACATATGAGCCACCGTGTGTACAGGTCCTTGGGTGCGGGGCCCAAAGTGGTGTACCCTACGAGGCTCTGGTGTTGTCTTGGGCAAGTTCTAGGGGCACGGGTTCCGCGATGGGACCGTTGTAACATGCACGTGCGTGCGCGGCAATCTGTTTGCAGGTTTTATGTCACCGCTTGCCATTTCTGTCGAGCGAGCGCCCCCTCGCTTGTGCTCGCGGGCACGTGTTTTGATGGGGGCTCTGTGGGCAGAGCCCGACCGCGAGAAAGGAGAACAAGCTTGAGACGCTGTGCGTATTCCGCCAACGACTTGCATGGTGGCAAGAGCTCGTGGTTGACGACGCGAAGATCCACGGAGGACCGCGATGAAGGAGGAGCATCGCGGCGACGGGGTGCCAGGCTGGGATGGAGATCCTAAGACCTGGCGGACGCATCGACGGAAGGCACTCCAGTACCAGGAGGGCACGAAGAGCTAAGACAGGCACCTGCGTGGCCCGAGGCCCGAGGCGAGGCTCACGGGCAGAGCAGAGGTTGCAGTGGAGCGCTGTAAGTCAGGCTGGCTCCCGAGAGATGACGGGGTGGAGCTCCTCTCGGCGTGGCTGGAGCACCGCCGCTCGCGCCAGGCGGCCTCGGGCGTGGGACAGGAGCTGGGGGCGTTCTTGATAAAGACCAGGCGCAGGAAGCTCGAGCCCACGCAGCGGTGGACGGACAGATTCGAGACCGGGCACCAGTGCCTTCGACGCGCGCTGGCGCGTGCACTCGGCCACCCGACTCCGAGCCCCCCCATCGATATCGAGCTGGACCCCTAAACGTTGGAGATGGGTGGGAGTGGAGAATGGAGAGAACGACGAGGGGCCGAGCTGGACGTGGGAGTACACCGACGGCCGAGGAGAAGAGGAGACAGGCTCGCGCACCTGGGGCGCCACCATTGACGATGACGCCGAGGAGGAGCTGGACGATATGCCAGAGGTCTCCCCGAGCATCGCGCGCGGTTGGCTGATGCTCGTGCGCGCGGCCATCCTGACCGCCACTGGTGGCTCGTTGGAGGCCGGCGCGATCCGCGACAAGTTCATCTCGACCTGGGAGGGCGACGACCTGGCAGAGCGAGACGGACGCGCCAGATACCCGAAGGCCTACGCGGCGCAGATGGGAGATGATGACCGCGCCAGGCTCGACGAGGAGGACGTGGAGCAGGGCGCGGGCAGCATCGCAGCCGAGCAAGGGCACAGGGAGTTCGAAGAAGAACCTGACATGGCCGAAGCCAATGATGAGGAGATCGGGTCGCACATGGCCGCCCAGCAGGAGGAGGCCGAGGCATTGGCTGCAATGCACGCGGCCCAGCGTGCCCTTCGCCAGGCTCGCGAAGCGCAGGCTGACTGCAGGCTGAGCCGCGGCATCCACCGCGGGGGCCGGCCAGGGAGTCAAGCGCATGGTGGTGGCCGAGGAGCCGGCGGAGGGTTCCCAGCGGGATCTCGTCGGCCGATGGGAAACCAGCATGGTGGCCGGGGGATGATTCAACCCCCGAACAAGGGATAGGAGAAGTTTCCGAGGTGTGGAGGTGGTCATTGGCTCCAGGATTGCCCTGGCCGCCACGATCCTCGCCTCGGCCCCAAGATGAACAACGTGCCCGAGGCGAGCGCAAAGTTGGCCACCCGCACGGAGGAGCTGAAGTTCAACCTAGCGGCCGCCATGGTCGCCGAGCAGGAGTCTGGGGACTCACCGAGCGAGGCGATGTTCGCTGAGCAGGCCATCTTGGAGGGCAAGGGGATCGTCGACTTAGGCTGCGCGGACACCATGGGTGGTGAGCGTGCGCTCGACATCGCGGCCGGAGAAGCATGGCGACGCGAGGCTCCGTGACGCGAACCTCAGCTACCAGCCGGCGTGCAGCTTCGGGCACGGGGAGAAGGAGCGCGCCTACGGACAGGTGAAGTTCGGGATCACGGGCGCGGGCAACGAGGGGGACATCGCGATCAACGGGTCCGCGAAGGATGTCCCGATCCTCGTGTCGAAGAAGGTGCTCAAGAAGCTAGGGGCGGTCATTGACTGTGACACGGGTGTCGCAGTGTTCGTGAAGCTTGCCCCGAATATCCCCGTGCAGCTGGAGGGGTCGCCCGATGGCGGACACTACTACATGAGCCTGGTGGGCGACATCCTGGAGCACCGAGTGCAGGACCCCGTCAGGCTGCGTAGTTCCATGAAGATCAGCCAGCACGTCTCTGAGTGGGGCAGGCCGGATCCGGCCGCCGAGATGGGGGAGGTGCTGTTCGGATCCGACCAGTCCGAGGAAGATGGGGAATACTCACACCAACTTCCCTTCCCTCACGTCGCCAGCATTCCCGTGGGGTCGAGCGAGGGATTCCGAACAGTCCGAGACCCCGGGAGGCCGCAAGCAGATGCGGAGAGGGACCAGCGAGCCCAACGAGATCTCCAGCTTTTGGATTGATCGACGCGGTGCAGCCTGCACCCCCAGAACCAACATATACTCGACCGCTGCCAGCGGATGGCAGCCAGATGTTCGGCGGCAGCTCCGTCGGAGGAGCGCTCCAGCTGGCCCGCGTCAGCGCCGCATGCAGGTGCAAGCCCGAGATGGGGAATGCCAGCTTCCAGCAGGGAGGTGCATCATCTCCGCATGGCGGAGGCGGTGGAGCTGTTCAGAGAGCTGGGTTCGCCCTTCAGCCCGGCCTAGTCGATGGACGAGCTGAGGCACACCATGAAGGAGGCCCTCTTCCCGAGGGACGAGAGCGCCTCCCAGAAAGCCCTGGAGGGGATCAGCACCATGGAGAAGCAGGAGCTGGTCTAGAAGGCAGAGGAGGTCGGAGCCCACCGCACGCCGAACATGACGAACGCAGCGATGAAGCTAGAGATCCGCAAGGCCGTGCTGATGAAGACGAAGCCCGAGCCGACGGACTTCATGGGTTTCGGCAAGCACGGGGCCCTGACGTGCCGGCAGGTCCGGATCCAGTGCCCGTCCTACGCCGAGTGGGCCCAGAAGGAGGCCAGCACCGACAGCAGCTGGGAGCTCACCCAGTGTGTCTCGTGGCTCAACGAGATGAAGGTAGTCCAGGAGATGGCCAAGGGCCCGGTGGAAGCTCCAGTGGAGCCTACCAGGGCACGAGGGGGCGCGAGGTCATCTCGTCGGCGCACAATGGACGTGATGATGGAGGACGAGCTCGGCGAGGAGACGTTGCGATCGGCCCACCAGGAGGAGCTGACAGCCAACCGCCAGGCACAGAAGGAGATGCTGGCGGCTCTGGGCCAGCTCAACCAGAGGCTGGAGCGCCTCGAGGCGCCGAGGGCTCCGAGTTCCGCGGACAGTTGTATCGCAGTGGAGCACAGTCAGAGTGGTCCGGCCGGGGTCTGAACTATGTCAAGGAGCTCGACCCCAGGAAGCAGCGCTGGCTCGCGAAGTGCATCAGGGGGGGCAACAGCAACGAGGACTTCGAGGCGCTGATTGCACATGGGGGGGGTCCAGCTCATGGAGCTGGCCTGTAGCCCCGCATCCATCCTGAGCACGAAGATGGCCGAGAAGTTTGGCGAGGAGGCCGCGCAACGGGTCAGCTCGTGGAGCAGCCACAAGCTCGGGGCGGCCCAGGGCAATCAGAAGGCCCGGGGGGCCCGGGACAAGGCCGAGCCCGACCACCTCTGGATCAGCACTCGGTGTGGTCCCCTGTCCACGCTGACACTCGGTTTCAACGCCTCCAACCCAGGGCAGAGATGGCCAGAAAACGACGGCTCCAAGCGATCAAAGAGTACAAGGGCGCGGTGCAATTGGTGTACGACCAGGTGGCCCAGGGGGGGCACGCCCACTGGGAGTGGCCCATCAAGTGCGAAGGATGGGGCCATGCCTTGATTCGCCAGATGATCGAGGCCTGCTCAATGACCGCGGTGAAGGTGGCCGGGTGCCAGCTCGGGGTCAAGAATGAGAAGGGAGAGCCCCTCTTGCAGGAGTGGCTCATCGCTACGACCTCACCGAAGATGGCGGCTCGGATGGCCACAGAGTGCCCAGGAGGTCGCCGGCATGGTGAGCTCATGGGCGGGGGCCTCACGGCCTCGACAAGCTACTACACGGACGAGTTCGCCCAGAGGACCGCGCGGGCCATGATCGAGGGGGCCGCGCCGGACTACCACGAGCTCTTCAGGAGCATGCCTGCAGAGAATGAGACCAACGAGCACGCCTTCGCGGGGCAACGGGAGTCGAACTCGCACGCCGAGGACCCTGGCTCCAAGGAGTACCAGAAGATCATGCAGTGGCTCACGTCTGTGCACCGAGGGTCCGGTCACAGCTCCAAGGCGTCCATGCTGCATGCGCTGCAGAGGAAAGGGGGTGAGCTCCATGGTGATGGGGGCGGCCCAGGACTTCCACTGCGGGGCGCGCGAGGAGGCGAACAACCACCGCCCGACGCACCCGCCCGTCAGTCTCGCGGCCATACCCCCGAAGTGGAAGCAGATCCAGGCGGACCAGTTCGAGTGGGAGCACCCGCGGACGAAGCTCAAGGCCAAGTTTTCGCTGATCGTTGACGAGAACTGCAAGGTCGGGGTCACTAAGCTGTTATACCACATGGTGGGTCAGGACCTCCACAGGAATCCCGTCTGGGCAGACCTCAAGAGCTTCTACGAGGAAAGGTGGCTACCGTACTTCGGGAAGCCGCAGCGCGTGAAGGTGGACCCCGAGGGCTCCTGGATGTACAAGCAGGCCGCCCAGTATTTTGACTCGGACTCCATCGGGTACGAGCCGAGCCCCGGCCAGGCTCACTGGCGCATTTCCCTTGCGGAAGAGGCGATCCAGGCAACCAAGGGGACGATGGACAAGCTCGTGACTGAGAACCCGGACATGTCCACCGAAGAGGCCCTGGCCCGCGCCACCGCAGCCAGGATTTCCCGGGAGGGCGCGCGGGGCCACTCCCCCTTGCAGCGCGCGCTGGGAAGGGCCCCTGACCTGGACGGCCACTTCTTCGAGAGCGACTTCGACGAGCTGCCCTGCGTCGAGGCCCAGCGGGTCGACAAGGAGTATGGCGAGAACTACATGAGGATGTGCGCGGCCGAGCAGGAGTACCTGAGGCAGGTGCACCTGCGTCGCCTGAGTCGCGCAGAGAATGCCAAGAACCAGTTGCTCAAGGCCGTGGCGCCTGGCATGTGGGTGCGCTATTTCCGCAAGGAGACAGGCGAGGTCAAAGGCCGATTCAAAAGGGCTCGCGCGGGTGCTCGCTGCGGAGACGAGCTGGCCCGTGGACGGTGACCTTGGAGCAAACGCGACATTGCATCCAGATCGTGCCGGACCTGTGGTCTGGTTGGTCCGGGCAGGACGCATCATCAAGGTGGATGTGTGCCAGATCCGAGCTGCGTCCACGCGGGAGATCGCCTGCGCTGAGCTCGGGGCGGGCAAGGACACGCCCTGGACCGCGAACGCATTCATGAATCAGGCGATGCGGCAGGAGTGCCGGGACTTTTCGTGACTCGACCCCACGGAGCAGGACTAGGAACTCGCATCCTGGGCGGAGGTGCCTGAACCAGCGCCTCCAGTGAAGAAGGCCCGCCACGAGGAGCCGCCCAGTGAGACCAAGTCCGAGCGCAACCAGATCCCTGTGCGCAGGGCGATTCGGAAGAATACACCACCGCCAGGAGGAGTGGCCAGCATCGCGAAGGCAGCCCGGGCTGCGCAGGCAGAGGATATCACGATGGAAAGGGCTGCCCTGATGGCCAAGGCATCCTCGGATGCACGATCCTTCTGGGCACGGCAGGGGACATCCCTGGGGATCTCGGTCGAGCTGCCCCCGGCAGGACAGCCCCTGAAGCAGGCCACGAGACGCATGAGCACCTACATGGCAGGCCAACTGAAAAGTGGGAAGCGAGAGATCGCAGAGCGGACCCTCGCCCTGGTGGAGGTGGCGAAGTTCAGCGTCGCCAAGGCCACCGAGGTGAACAACTACGTGATATCCTCCGCGCTGGAATCCATGCCGCCTGGGGCCACCCCGCCACCAGAGGATGTAATGCGCATGCGGTGGATCCTGGAGTGGAAGATGGATGAGACTACGAGTGAGAAGAAACCCAAGGCCCGGATCGTGGTCTTGGGTTACATGGATCCTGAGTACGAGCACCGGCCGACGACCGCACCAACCATGACCAGGACCTCCCGGCACCCGGTGCTGCAGGCTATGGCGTGGCTCGGGTTCAAGGGTTACAAGGCCGACGTGACAGTAGCGTTTACCCAGAACCGGGAGATCAAGCACGACCTGTTCGGGATGCCCGTGGAGGAGCTGGCCGTCGCCCTGGGGATGCTCGAAGGGGTTGCGATGCGACTGCGGAAGGCAGGCTATGGGCTCGTGGAGGCAGCCATCGAGTGGTTCATGACGGTGGGCGAGGCCCTGGAGGAGTTCGGCTGGACGCAGATGAAGATGGACCCATGCGTTTTGGCACTCCACGGCCAATCCCACGGCCAGGACACCAGCTTCACGAAGGAGGCCATGGGTCTATTCACGGGGTCCGAGGTAATGGGCGAGCTGATCGCGGCGGAGGGCGACCTGGACATTGTGGCTATCGCAGGGCCCCGCGTGGATGACTTCCTGCTCGGAGGGAAGGAGACGGACCCCAGGTGGATCGAAGCCCGGAAGAAGATCGAAGAGCGGTTCAAGTGGAACGTATGGGAGACCGAGAATTTCATGCAGACTGTTGTCCGGATCCGGCAGCTTCCAGATATGAGCTTCAAGATGGACCAGAGTGAGCATGTCAAGACCATCGAGAAGGCAGTCGTGAGCCCGGGGCGAAAGAAGAACAAGGACGCCCCGACCACCGACAAGGAGAAGGGGCAGCTGAGGGCAATCCTGGGTGCCATCGGCTGGCGCTCCGAGCAGTCAGGCCCCGTGCACTCGGCGGGCGCAAGCCTGTTGCTAAGCGCGATGCCGTCCTCCACCGTGCAGACCCCCGTGGACACGAACCGCCTGGTGGACAGGGTGCTGGAGGGAGCAGACCTCCCCGTGGGCATCTACAGCCATTCTAGCGCGCAGGTGATCGTTCCCATCGAGTGGTCAGATTCCTCGGAAGCGAACCGCCCCGACGGAAAATCCACCAAGGGACTTGTCACAGAGATGGCCCCACTACGCATCATGCAGGGAGATGAGTCAGACGTGAGCATGATATCATGGAAGTCAGGAAAGATCCACCGAGAGTGCCGGAGTTCAGTATCATGTGAGACCCGATCAGCTGTGGACGGTGAGGACGAACTGTTCGGGGTCAAGCTCCAGGGCTTGGAGATGCTCGGCAATCAGATCGACTGGCGCAACTCGGAAGGGACACTCAGTCAGTTACCCGCCGCCCTCGTGGTGGACGCAAAGGGTCTCTACGACAAGTTGCAGACCACGGTGTACACATTCCGCGGCAAGGAAAAGAGAATTGACGTGGAGGCCATGACCTTGAAGGAGGGATCGGCGGCGTCCAACAACTGGGTGCTGTGGGCGCACGGAGACGCTCAGCTGGCGAACTTTTTGACGAAGGGGCACGAGCCTGGACAGCTGGGGATGTACTACAACAGTGGCCACAGGTGAAAGCTGATTCATGACGCCAAGTACCAGAGGTCTAAGAAGCGGAAGGCCGCGGGGACCCTTCCGTTCGAGAGCGCCCCCCCTGGAGTGCTGCGCCATGGAGATGCAGGAGACGGTGCCGCGCACGCTGCAGCAGGTACTGGAACCAGTCCCGTGGGCGTCCCCGAATACGAGGCGGTTTCTGATTACAGCAGTGATGGAGAGCTTACGGACTGAACCATGCTCAGCTTGGAGAACCCTTATCCGCGCAAGCTTCAGAGTGCAAGCCTGAGCAGGTCATCCATATTACGTGATGCATATGAGCCACCGTGTGTGCAGGTCCATAGGTGCGGGGCCCAAAGTGGTGTACCCTACGAAGCTCTGGAGTTTTCATGGGTAAGTTTTTGGGGCACGGGTGCCGTGATGGGACCGTTGTAACATGCACGTGCGTGTGTGACAATATGTTTGCAGGTGTTATGTCACCGCTTGCCATTCTGTCAAGCGAGCGCCCCCTCGCTTGTGCTCGCGGGCACGCGTTTTGATGGGGGCTCTGTGAGCAGAGCCCGGTCGGACGGCCGACCGCGAGAGAGGAAGACAAGTTTGAGACGCTGTGCGTATGCCGCCAACGACTTGCAGTGCGGCCCCCCCCCCCGCTGCGGCCGCCAAGAGGAGGCGCGCGGCCGCCGAAGCTTCGCCCTGAATGACTTGCGGGGCCCAGGGCCGGCAGCGGGGCCTGCCGCGGCGCGCCGCGCGGCCCTGCGCGGCAAGCTCAAGCAGGCGCAGGACCAGTTCTCGCGAATGCAGCAGCAGCGCCGCGACGGTGCGGAGGACGAGCTGGTCGACTTCGAGAAGGACGAGGACGCAGACGCGAGGTCGCAGGGCCAGGTGGGCCCTCGCGGCCCTGCTGCGGGGAAGCGCGCGCTCGCCGACGTGCCGGGGGATCCGGTCCGCAAGGCATCAAAGACTGGGCCAGGTGGGCTCGTCGGCGATGCGAGGAGCGCTGTGCCAGGCGGGCCCGCTCCCAGCGGTGGAGGCGCGACCATGCAGGAGCAGCTCGCGGCGCTCGTCAAGGCGCTCCAGAGCGCGGCCAGGAGCTCGGACGAGGCATCCGGCGACATCTTGTCCCGAAGGGCCTCGCTTCACGTCGCGCCCACTGCGGGAAGCTGTCGCTCGAGCATCCTGTACGCTTGGCCGAGATGAGCCTGGCGCAGATGGCGGAGTATTTCGGCTCGCAGGACGGCGCTGCGTCTGTCGACCCCCATGGTCCCAACGTCCTGCGCCCCCTCCTCTCGGTCTACCTGCCGCAGCACCCCGCGAAGGAGATCGGCGGGAAAATCAACCGCGAAATGCGAGCGATCGCAGAGGCGCTCGACCTGCTGCTGCAGGGCCGCACAGCAGCCGTCGCCGACATCCTCGCCCAAGGTTCAAGGCGATCCAGGTGGCGGTCAACAACGGGGACTGGTCGGCGGCCAAGTGGCTGGAGCTGATACCGCCGAGGGACCAGCCGCTCGCCCTTCGCAGCGAGGGGGGATAGGTGCTCGCGGACATCCAGCACGGGGAGCTCAAGCTGGAGGAGCTGGCCTCGCGACTCCGCTAGGGAGTCGGCTGGGGCGAGGCGGGGGCAGCGCTGCCCACTCGCCCTGCGGGCCAGGCAGGGGGGGCCCTGCGACTGCGCAGCCGCCTGCTCGCCGGCCTGCCGACCCAGCGCGCGTCGCGGGGGCCGACGGGACGGCGGCGGAGAGGGGGCCCGCCCTTGGCCGAGTTGCCACAGCAGCTCGCCCCTGGAAGGAGACCATGGCGAAGCGCCCGAAGAAGCATGGGGAGACGGCCGAGGCGTACGAGGCCCGCATCAAGTCTCTCCTGCCGCCTTGCCGAGGGCGCTCGCGCCCTTGGGCGCCGCCGGTGCCCCCCGACGCCATTCTGCCACGGAGCCCCGTTGCGTGGCGAAATGCTCCGTGGCCGCCAGAGGGGCCTCTGCAGAGGCCGCCGCCGGCGCCACGGGGGCCGCTGCGGGCGCCGCCAGGGCCCCCCGAGGCGATTCTGCCACGGGGCCCCGCTGCGTGGCGAAATCCCCCGTGGCCGCCAAAGCCGCGGGGGCCGCCGCGAGCGCCGCCAGGGCCCCCGGGGGCCCGCCCGGCCGGGGCCGCCGAGGCCCGCGACACAAGACACATCATGTCACAGGCGCCCCGCGCCCCCCGAGGCCATTCTGCCGCGGAGCCCCGCCGTGTGGCAAAATTCTTCTTGGCCGCCGGAGGGGCTTCTCAGGCCGCCGCCGAGGCAGTGGGGGAGGCGCGGCTGGCAGCTCGCGGCGCGGGCCCGGCGCCGCGCGGGCTGGAGTCTGAGGGCGCCCCCTGCGACGCGGCGGAAGCGGCGGGGGCCCGAGTAGGGGGCGAGGCGCCGCCGGGCGGGGGCCGGTCCCTCGAGGGGACCTCGGCGGACTTCGAGGCGTGGAGGCGCATGGTCCGCATCGAGTCCGGGTCCATGCTGACGGCCGTCGACCTCGCCGTCGCGCTGCTGGCCCTCGCCGTCGCGGACCCTGGAGGTCTGGGCGCCCTCGCCAGGGAGTTCACGAAGCGTGCGTCCTCAAAGCGGAGGAGCGGTGGTCGAGGGCGGGGATATTGCCGCTGCCCCTGCCAGCCTTCTCCTTGGCCAGGCGATGGATGCACGGCAGGCATGGGCATTGCCGCAGCAGGTGCCGTTCCGTTCACGCGGCCAAGAACGTGGTGCTGCAGTCCTTGCTCCACTTTGAGGCGCTGGGCCTCGATCCATCACGCCGCGGGCGCGCGGTGCCCAGCTGGCAGCACGGTGGCTCGCCGACGCCGGCGCGGCAGCAGGCCGTGGCGCACTTCCTCTCGCGGGCATAGGTCTTCGCCAGGGAGCCCTCGATCTGCGGGCGTGGAGGTGCTTGCGCTCTCGGCCGCCCTGGTCAACGCGGCGGTCGACTACGGCGGGGGGCGGGTCGTCGAGGCACTTCCCTGCGCGCTCGCCGAGCTGGCGCCTGGCTTCCCGCAGGCCGAGCACGCGGCCGCGCTGGAGGGCCCCACGGTCGCTCTGAGGCCCGAGAGCGAGTGGCCCAACCCGCCCCCGCGGGCGCGGGTCAACGTCGGGTCCGACGCTGAGTGGGGGACCCTGGCCGTGCACCTGGCCAAGCTGAACATGTGCGCCGTGCTTGAACCGCGCGAGGTGCTCCACGTGCGAGGGGCCCCGCCCCTCAACGGCCCGTCCCCGGTCAGAGAAGGAACGGGGGCGCCATGCGCTGGGGCCGAGCAGGTCACCAGGTTGATCCTCAACGCGGTGCCGGGCAAGCCCTTCGTCGGCGAGGCGTGCGCGCTCGCGGCCTCGACGGGATCGGGCGGCGCTGCGCCTGCCTGAAGGGCCCCTGCTGCTGTGGTCGGGCGACGACCAGAAGGGGCCCTTCTTCGCGTGGCGGACCCCGCCCTGCTGGCGCGCGCCCACGGCCGTCGGGAGGCTTTCGGCGTGAAGCCTCCGCGCGTCTTCTCGGCCTCGGCGGTCATCTCCATGGCCTGGATGCACGCGGCCCCACTCTTCCCGCACATGCATCAGCGTTTGTGCCGGCTGCCGCCGCCGATGTGCGCCGGCCCGCCGCCCAGGGCGGAGCGGCGGAAGGGCGCCGAGAGGCCGCTTGTCATCGGCAAGCAGGGGCCCATCCTTGCGCCCGCGCGGCAGGTGCACATCGACGACTTCGACGCGCCAGAGATCGTGGAGCAGGCAGCGGCGATGGAGCTCGCCGGGGCACAGGCAGCAGAGTACCGGGCGCTCGCCCGCAGCAGCGGCGCGCGGGCGAAGGTGGCGACCTCCTCCGACAAGGCCCGCCTCCACCAGCTGCAGGTGGAGAGGATGGGGGCCTCGGTCGACGGCGTCTCGGGGCGGATTGCAGCGCCGCTCGACAAGGCGTTCAGCACCTGCGCCTTGGCTCCGGCGACCCTCGACCCGGAGCTTGTCCCGTGGAGGCAGGCCATGGCCGTCTTGGGCCGCCTCGCGAGGATCTCCGAGTCCCGTCACCCTCTGCCCAGCATCCTCACATCCGCATGGCGGTTGTCGGAGCCGAAGGTGGAGGTCTTCCTCGCGCGGGAGGTGAGGGAGGAGCTGATGACTGCGCTCCTCATCGCCCCGCCGGCACCGGTCTCGCTGCGCAGCCGCCTCGAGGGCATGACGTCCTGCTCGGCGGCGGCGTCTACGTCTCGACGGGGCTCCGCGAACGCGCGGAGGCGACCGTTCCCGTCTCAAGCGAGCCCGGCGCGCAGCTGGGAGCAGGTGCGAGGGCCCTCGGCCTCCCCGTCGACCCGCGCGCGCCCTGGACTCGCGCCAAACCGCGGGTGCCTCGCCACGTCGTCGCGACTGTGCTCGGTGTGCTTTGCGCCGGGCTCTTCGACGGGATCGGCGGCTTGGCGGCGGCGGTCTCGCGGCTGCCCGCGCGCGTCGTCGGCTGGGTTGGCGCGGAGACGGACGCCGAGGCGAGGGGGATCATGCGCCTCAGGTGGCCTGGCGCCGTCGATTGGGGCGACGTGAAGACGGCCTCCGCCCAGGCGATCAACGACCTGCGCGAGGCCTACCAGTCCGACGTGGACCCTGTCATCGCGGCGGCAGGCAGCCCGCGCCAGGAGCCCACTGGGCTGAATGCGGTAGTTCGAGGGCTGGCGGGCCCCGAGAACTCTGCGTTTTTCGAGGTGCCGCGGATCTTCGGGCTCTTGCAGCAGGCGTTCGGCGAGCGCTTCCAGCGGTTCGTCGAGAAAGCAGCGAGCATGACGGCCGGCCGACAGCGCGCGCGGCATGAGCGAGGCCCTCGCGGGGGATATTTCAACGTCGGTCCCCACTGCCAGTTGCGCGCGGACAAGGGGGAAGAGGGCAACCGCCGCAAGTGCCGTCGCAGCGTCACAGGGGGCGCGCCCACCACTCGCCGCGCCGACGGCCCGACCGCGCAGAGGTGCGAATCGGAGGGGGCATCGGCAGCGCGGGGAAGCGGGGGGCACGGGCGGCTGCGTCGGGCCACAGGCAAGTAGCTCCAACAGGGTGGCGACCAGGGGCGTGCAACCAGAGGGCGGCAAGGAATGGTCGCTGCACGGAGAAAAGCAGAACGCGGTGCAGATCGCCAATTTGAGCTGCAACGAGCGCACCGAAAAGGCGGTCTATTTGGCGTCTCTATTGCGCGCAATCCGCAAGCAGCAGATGGGGTGGCCCAGGGTAATGACTTTTCGCAGATCGGGATTTCGATTCACTTGCTGGACGCCCCCAAGTCGCAGAGGGGCGCGCCCATATAGCCACTGGTGCCTGTCGGAGCATCGAGGGCCCGCTTCCACAGCCAGCTGTTCGGATGCCCGCGTGGGAAGATCGAGATACAACGGGGGCGCGGTCTTCGAGCGCCTGGGCGAGGCGCGCATGCCGCTGGCGATCAGGGGGGCAAGCAGGAGATCGCGCTCGGCCCATTAGCCGACAGCGAGGATGCGGATGACGAGTAGTTCGGCGGCGGGTGGAGGGAGCCAGACAATTTTGCGCGCCATGCCTTGGTGTCGCGCCCCCGCACCGCTTCACTCAGGCCGAGCAGGGCGCGGGTGAACCATGCAGCTCGGCGGGCAATGCCCGAACTTTTTGTCTGGAGGCACACATGAAGAGCCAGGAGAAACGGCGAGGCGAACCATGATTAATGGATTACCAGGCCCTTACGCAGTGCGAGAGCCTACTCCAATGACACACCTTATACAGTCCACTTGCGCCTCCCGCAGGCGATGGGCCATGGGCACAGGTCGAGAGGGGACATCGGCATCGCGTGCCATTGCATACACATGTATGAAAGCATCTGTTTCGCCGGGCTCTCGGCGATGCAGGCGTTGCAGACATTTGCCGGCGTCGCAGCAATCGCGCATGCTGCAATTCGCTCCCAAGGCCAACCACAAAACCATCGGCCCACGCGATACCGAATCAGGGCGCAGGCTGAGTCACATCGAGAGCCGGACGTGCCACATAAACCTGCGCCAGAACAGCATGGGAACCATCTGCGCGCTGATGAACTACGCGAACGGGTCGCGGGATTTGATCACCCAATGGCCACAGGAGGTGAATATCCTTGAGTCGGGCGACGGCCCCGAACGGATGGGCCGGGGCCAGAGAGAAGGAGAGGTGGGGCAGGTCATATGCAATTGGGAAGTAGACCACCACCAGGGGTTCCCCCAAAGCACAGCAGCGAGTCCCGACCCTGCTGAAATTGAGTGCCAGCGCGCGAACAGTGCCAGACGGGATCGAGTGTGCGTCAAATATCCAGAACGCCTCGCGTCGGCATCCATGGCGGAATAAGTCCCGCGGCTGATGATGGTGGAATTGCTGGGGTGGGTGGGTGGGAATGCAACTGCTACTGTATCGTAACACGTCGACGGTCAGGATGAGTCATGAGTAGAGCAGCTGGTAGTGAATAGCTACCCTGTAAGGTTGAGAGGGGGTTGTATTACTCCTCCTCGCTATCACGAGACGCGCGCTTGCGCTTCGGAGGGTCCTTTCTGCCGGCGCTTCGGCGGCCAGGCTACATTCAGGATGGGAAATAACACACAGACGCATTTAATCGTCGATCCCCAGGAAAATAGTTGAAAATATGGGAAGTGGGGGGAGCACAAAAACCCAGAACAGATGGGAAAGTATAGGGAATCCTTTTTATTTGTGTCTATTTATTTGTGTGCCCCAGGACCCCTTCAATCACGCAGTGGTCCAGGTTTCTCTTGCGATTGCAGGGCTGACGACCCCCAAGATCCTTTACGTTACCTTACCTCCCAGCCCCTCGTTTCACAACCTTTCCTCGTCCCCGTCAGCATTCCGACCCCCGGCTCGCGCTTTTTGTCTCTCGCTCATCCCCACCTCCTCCCCCCGCCCTTTGTTCGCCACCTCCTCCTCCAAAGCCCGGTCAGACATCCCGACCTTTCGACCGTGCCCCTTGCCTGTCGCCGGAAGTGTTGGTCGCAATGTTTGGCGTCCTGGGGTATGTTGGCGGACCGAACGGTGGAGTTTCAGCGCCGCTCCCGCGTGGCAGATTGGTTGGCGCCGCCCCCGCTGACTAAAGCAGGGCCTAGCCAGGATCCCTCGCCCGCATTACCGCGAGCTGCTCCCGGACGGCCCTGCGGTGGTGTTTGTGGGATCCCGAGCCGCAGCAAGATTGGCCTGGCATTCAAGCAGTGGCGAAGCGTCCTGGCGTGCCTACCTATAGTCCTACTAAACAATATTTTAGGAACCTTGTGTGGTTCCCACAAAATGTTATCAGAACATTTCTGGCTGGGACTGTCTTGTTTGATCACATCTGGTTGATGTTCGAAGAACATTGTTTTTGTTTTTAGGACATGCTCGGGTTCCAATAACATTTCGTGGCAGGGCTATAGGAATGCCGGGACGGTCGGTCCCTGCTCAACGCATGACAAAACAGCCAGGGCGCTTCCTTGGAAAGCCCGAGGATGCCTTCCAGGGCGCTTCCGTGCCCAGCCCGAGAGGACCCGCCGAAAAGCCTGCTTGGGCAGCCCGAGGGTACCTGCGCGGACGTCTCCCTCCGCGCGGGTCCGAGTGTTGAGGGCTTGGCGACTCGAGCAGGTAGGGGTTGCCAGGGGCTCGGGTGGACACGTTGAGAGAGGGGTGATCCAACGGGTATCTGTCCATCCTCTTGCTGTGTCTGTTTCGCGGGCCCAGGGCGTAGCTGGAATGATCGACGGTCAGCGCATCTCCAGCCATCGTCGTTGGACGATGGCTGGAAATATTGTGGATGCTTAGGATGTGGGCATCTTGAGAGCTTGTTGGGTTGTTTAGGAGGTCCAATTGGTGGCCTCGTCAAGGCCTCCTGGACGGCTTCGAGGGACCCAGAGAAGGGGAGGAGTGGGGGCCTCTTTGAAGTCTCCAGGCCAGAGGGAACAACGGTTGGTTTTCCAACCAGTTTCGTGAGATGTGTTCGCGGACCACTTGTTGTCCTTTTTTAAGGCCGTCTCGAAGGCATCATTCATGCGTTCTTTGGGGCTTCGGGGACTCCGAGGCGTCCTGGACGTTCTTGGGTCTGAAAATGTCAGCATGTTGTAAAGTCAGTCAGAAGCCAGAAGCTGTTCAACGCCATGGGTCCTTCGGGCCAGCCCCCCAGAGCTTCCAAAGCGCTCCCTAGCACGGCGTCTATGGCTCCAGAGCAAGGGCACGCGACGAGGCCCCAGAAGCTGGCAGGAACCGCCAGGCGCACCTGTGAGATCAGGCGTCCGTGGCCTCCACGAACAGTGGACCACCAAAGGCCTCAGGGATCTCCACCACAGCTGGCACGAGTGTCAGAAAAACCCTTGCGTTTGAGGGGTGCCCTTGCGTGTTCGTGGTTGGGCTCTCCACCTTGGCATGTTTTCAGCTTGGGGCATGTCAATGACCCCTGGTCTTTGGCAAGGGGCTCGTACTCCTGACCCGCGCTCTTGTGGCCATGCTTTGCCTACACATGGACCTTCAAGGACCTGTGGGCACTCCACTGCAGGTTAGCACCGCGTTGATGCAGCGGCGATCTCGGCGCAGTGGCCCAGAATCGGCCGGCCTTGAGCGGTCTGCATCGTCGGCACGCCGCGATCGTTGCGGGCCGCAGCGACCCGCGCGGTGCTGGTGGCTAAAAGCAGGCGCCCATCGCGACCTGAACCCGTCGCATGACCCAGGGGCGCGGAGGTGGATGTCCTGATCGGCCTGTTTTCCACCACCACCACCATAAGTTGTAGGGGGAGGGGGTCCTCCTCCACCTCCTCCTCCTCCTTTCCGTCCTCCTCCTCGTCCTCCTTCTTCCCCCTCCAACTTATGGTGGTGGTGGTGGTGGAAAACAGGCCCATCATGTCATTTGCGGTGTTCTGCGCTTAGCTCTGCACAATGATCCCTCTGGGACGCCTTGCGTTGGGTCGGGCCTGTCTCTCTACAGGCAGGTTTTGGACGAAATTGAAAAATAGGCAACAAATGCCAAAAAGTACCCAACCCATCCTCCCCAGACTATGTTTTCATTTTTGTTCCAATATTCATCCTGTAGAGGGACAGGCCCGACTCGAGCCTTGCGGCCGCGTGCTCTGTGGCCTCCCTTGGCCCCTCTGCTCCGATGCCGGGCGCCCTCGCCGCGGCCTCGAGGCGATCGCGCAGCACTCGCCGCACGCGTTCGTGCAGGGCACCGAGGCGCTGGACAGGCAGAAGCTCAATCAGCTGGAGCAGCACTTCTTCATCATGACTGAGGAGGACCCGCGCCCACAGAGTCAGGCGAGGGGCAAGTGCTGATACCGGTGCTCGTGCTTCGTGGTTGCCTTGCGGGGCCTCCCGGGAGGCCCTCGTCGCCACGGCTGGATCTGATTCGACATTCTGGTCGGAGTGCACCCCGGGAGAGGTCTGGTATCGGAATCTGTCTTGGCTTCTACAGGTTTCCCCGCCCAGTCGGCCAATCCAGCGGCCCATCTCCCCCTCCGCCCCTCGGCCGCCCAGCTTCCACCTTCCCCCTCCTCGTGTGGCTTCCAGCACGAAGAGAACGGGTCCTACTGCTGTCAGCCGTTCGGACCCCCCCCCTCGGGCCATTCCCCTCCTATTTGGAATTCCTCAAGAATTGCTGCCTCGCCCTCGAGCCTCACCTCCCTTCGCTCCTCCTCGTCCGCATCCTTGTCGCAGGAGCTGGCCAGCTGCATGGGCTTGAGCGGTCAGTGCATCGTTGCAAACGGCCCGCTAGAGGCTTCGGGGGTCAGCATGTTTGCCATGTGCCAAGTATGTTTGCAATACTTGCCCATGCCACTACTGCAGCTTCCGGAGTTGTCAGAAATACTCAGGAGGGAGAGAAGAACAAGCACAATTACTCGTCGATCCCCAGGGAAGATGGAAAAGTATGGAAAGTGGGGGGAAGACGAAAACCTAGAAAATATTAGAACATATAGGGAATCCTGGGATGTGTGTCTATCTATGTGTGTGTCCCGGGACCCCTGCAAGTACCTCGATAGTTCCAGTTCGTTGAGCAGGTTGGTCACGAACAGTTGCCTTACATGCAGCGAGCATACTCCCGCGAGGGCCGTGGAGACAGTGAAGACAGCATGTGTGGTTATTGCATGCTCTTCCTCCTCGCCCTCGCCCTCGCCCTCGTCCTCCTCCTCCTCCTCCTGCTTCTCCTCCTCCCCCTCGTCCTCCCCCTACTCCCCCCTCATCCTCCCGCCCTCCCTCCTCTAGAAGGAAGTTGCGTGTGGTACAGTATACGTGGCGCAATCTGTGTGGCGCAAGGTCTGTGGTGCAACATATGTGGTGCGGTGAATTTCTGCTCGCAGGGAGTTGGCAACTCCGCTGCTCGCGCAATCGTCCCACCCAGCCACCCGCAACTTGGTCTGCCAGTCCCATGCGTCGGCGATTGCGATGAGTGCGTGGTGTTGGCTGGTGCATCCATGCGCTCGCGCTAGGCCGCGTATGCTCGCGCGCGCAGCGGCCAGCTAGTTTGGCGCGACCGACTTGGCTTCGGTGGCGCTGACTGCTGGGCTAATCCCAGCGGGCACTTCACTCCAAGTCGGCGACTTGGGCGGGCGCGGCATCATGGCAACGACGACAACGACACTCCGAGTTTCTTAATCAGCTTCGGGGGGGCCTCACCCCCTCCGACAGCCACAGATCGACCCCCGTTGCGGGCAGCCACCGCGCGCCGAAGGCGCTCCGACCCCCGTCGCGGCGCGACGACGAAATGAGGTTGACCCCCGTCGGGGGGGGTTATTCCCCACGTTTTTTTGAAGAAACGCAGAGCAGACACAATGCTGATAGTAGCGGCGCTGGTGACGATGACGGCGCCGATGTTGATGACGCCGGCGACGATGACAGTGTCCTCGCGTCGGTGATGAAGGTTTTGGAAGGAGCTCAACATGCACGCCGCTGGCGCGCGAAAGTGGCCCGCATGGTATCACTTGACACGGATCGTGCCTTCCCCAGCACGCGCGCAAGGGCGTTTGAATGATGTCGGCATGCGGCGCAGGAGGCCCGCTTGGCAGAATTATAGAACAGGTTCAAAAATGGTGGTTCCCCTTCGAATTCGCAAGAGCGAAAGCGCACGTTTTTTTCAAACCTGATGTTGCGAAACCACGTGTTTTTTGGTGTCGGGACAGTCGTTTTTTGAATTGTCGACGAGCCCCGAGGTTTTTGACGGATTTCGGCATGCAATTCGTCCCGTTGTTTGCAGAGGGATCTGCGCGCCAGCAAACGCGCAAGGGCGTTTGAATGTTTTCGACATGCGCGCGCGAAGCCCGCACGGTAGCAATAGATGGACATGATGGGAAGCCGGTGGTTTTCAGGAGAACTCGCAAGACCGCAAGCGCAAGTTTTTTCTTGCCATGTGTTTGTTGCGTACCGTTTGGGCACTCGATTTCGAAATCTTTACAACATCATTTTTTTATAGTAATTTCAGCGTGCGCGACAACCCGCGCGTGTGCACTTCGTTTCATTTGCTGCAAGGGATGCTAGAACATTGTTTGTTTGTGATGAACGAGTGCTCTCGCATAGCTCGTTACAAAAGATGACGGGGGGGTCGATACCTGTTTGGCTGGGATGATACGAATTCATGTTCAGGATGGACGATTGGGCTGAATCGTATGTGAATCGCAATACGAAAAAAGGGAGACAGACAATCCCAGAGGGGGATATTTATTTCCTTAAGAAAGGAACATCCACCCTGCCGCACCTTAGTCTTAGTGTGTCCACTGTTCGCGCAATCGTCCCACCCACCCACCCGCAATTTGGTTTGCAAATCCTAGGCGGCGGCGGTGGCGATGATTAATTTGCGCTGGCTGGCGCATCGCTGCGGTCGCGCTAGCGCGCGCCGGCTCGCGCACTGACTGGCAAGCTAGTCTGGCGCGACCGACGCGGCCGTTGTGGCGCTGACCGTCGGGGACCTTCCCAAGGTCGCAGGAGCGCTGGCGCGCGGGCGCTTCAGTGCGAGTCAGTGACCGAGGCGGGCGCGGTAGCATGGCGACGTCGAAATGGCAGGTACTATGTTGATTGTAGCGGTGATGGTGACGACGATGATGATGACGAAGGCCAACGATGGCGACGATGCTGACCACGCGGATGACGACGATGGTGTTCACGCGTTCGACATGCGCGCGTCGTGGCCGGCGGGCGCGAGCGTTTTGCATGGTAATGTGTGGCGGGTCGTGGCCCCCCAAGCACGCTCGTAAGACCGTTTGACTGATTTTGGCATGCGCGCGCGAGAGGCCAATTTGGCAGCCAGCATTTGGCGAGCACGTTGGGGAAACGACGGTTGTATCACGACGTCATCGCAACGCGCGCGCATTTGTTTGTTGCTTGTCGCTGCGCGAAACCACCAGTTCGATTTTGATGACCCCACAAACCCACGGATTTTGAGTGATTTTGGCATGCGCGCGCGACGTCGCGCGCGTGCGGATTTGCTTGGCTTACTTGTTGCAAGGGGTTTTGGACAATTGATGGGTTGTGATAGTCGCGTCGCGCGCACCGTAATATTTTCTGAGGATGCATGGGGGGTCGAGCCCGGTTTGGAGGGGATGGTTTGGATTTGTACGGAAAGTGGACGGGGCGGCAGAAGAATCTGAATTTGCATATCCCCATGGGGAGGGGCAGCACGTCTTGGGGGAGGATGGGGAATTTACCTTTCCAGTGGATAAGAGAAGCTACGTGGCGCAAATAATTCTGAACTGTTTGGGGTTGTTAATTCCACTGCGGGCGTCGAGGTGCAAGCTATGTGGTGCAACTTGCGTGGGTTTAATATCACCAGTGCTGCAGTGCGATCTCGCGCCCAGAGCGGCCAGTCACTTTGGCTGAGCCGACGCGGCCGTCAAGGCGGTGACCGATGGGGATCTTCCCTGAGCGTCTCACAGGCCGCGTTGGCGCGCAGGCGCACCATTGCGGGTCGGTGACTCGGGCGGGCGCGGTGTCAGAATGATGTCGGCAAACGGCGGAAACGATGATGAAACTAGCGAGGATGGCGACGACGGTTACGATGATTACGGCAAAGCCAATGACGGTGCCGAATATGTTTACGTGTCGTTGGTGAAGGTTTGAGATGGATTCCAGCATGCGCGCGCGGCCGACGTGTGCGAGCGGCCCGCTTATAGCATCTGACAGGGAATGTGCTCCCGCCAGCACACGCGCAATGCCGTTCGACTCATTTCGACTCGCGCTCGAGAGGTCCGCTTGGTCCCATTTGACGAACACGTTGAGAACCCCATGGTTTCTTATCTCAAGACCTTTCGCACAACTGTGTTGGCAACGCATCGCAAGTCCGAGTGTTGTCCGTGTTAAAACATGACTTCGTGATCATAGATTTCAAATCCTCGCGACACCCTTTCCGTTTTTGTGTATTCCGACATGCGCGCTCGACGACACGCGCGTGTGGATTGTATGTTGCCTTTGTTGGCCGGGCTTTTTAATTTTCTGTTTTTCTATGAAGGGATGTGCGGGCATAGTATTATTCCAAAAGGATTATGGGGCGGGCGGTATCGCGACTACCCGGGATGATACGAATTATTATTTAAGATGCGCGATGCGGCAAAGTCATGGGGAACATTGTAATGTTCCAGGGGGGGCCGGGAATTTTGTGGGGTAGAGTTCAGGTTCGTCTCAAAACAGCGAACTACTGTGAAGGCCTTACGGCCGGTGCCGCCGACATTGCATGGCGGCGACAACGACGACCAAAACGACGAAACTCTCGGGGGCCTCCTGAGGGTAGTTTGGGGGCCTTTTGGGAAGCACTTGGGGGCCGCTTGGGAGCCTCGAAAGGGCCTCCTGGGGTTTCATGGGGGTCTCTTGGGGTCCTCTTGGGGCTTCTCGGGGGGCTTCGTAGGGGCCTCTGGGGGTGTCCTGAGAGCTTCTCAAGCCGAGGGCTCGAAATGTCCGTTCGGGTCCCGCGTCTGGGCTCCCTCTTACAACCGTCTTGAGAGGCCTCTTGGACGGTCATGGGGCCCTCTTCGGTTGTTTTGGGGCTCTCTTGGACTCCTCTTGGGCCATCTTGGGGCAGTCTTGGGGGCCTCTTGGCCTGTCTTGGAGCGTCGGGAAGCTGACAAGGCGAGAATGCCGAAATCTTTCAAAAAGCTGAGGGACATCTTGGATTTGTGTTCCTTGGTGCCCTCTTTAGAATTCTCCTTGGAGGCCTCTTGGGACGTTTCCGAAACCTTTTGAGCCGTCTGGAGGCTACTTCGGCGATTTGGACCACTATTTCGGCGAGTCGGGGCCCTCGAGGACCGTCTTGGGGGCATCTTGGCGCATTTTTGCCGCGTCTTGGGGCTTTTCTGGGCCCCCGAACCGCCGGGGGGGGTCGTACCTGACCCCGGGACTCCCTCGGACCCCCCCCCTCCCCGGCGGGGACGGGATCAAAGGGAAGGGGCTTCCCTTCGACTGCACTACAACGTTGCTCAATTTCGCTGTGGCTGGCGCGCTCGACGACGACAACGACCACGACGACGACGACGACGAGTCAAACAGAACAGCCTCTTCCACACGCCAACAGGGTCGGCTGATTTGTTGCAACCCATGTGGTGCAATCTATGTAGTGCGAGGCATGTGCTTTAGGCTACGTGGTGCAGTCTACGTGGTGTGAGCTATGATCTGCGGGCTATGCTGTGTGAGCAGCGTCGACGGACGGCGGCGACAAGCGGCAAGATCGACAACAAGCCTGCCGGTCCGAGAGCCAGACCCTCTTTCTCGTAAGAGAAGTAAGGAATTGTAAGTACAGC